GTGAAAGACGAACTTTCCCGGGCGCCCAGGGCGGAGTCTATGGACCAGCTGACCAAATCAGCGCTGGCCATAGGAGCGCGCCAGGAGGCGAGAGCATTGGAGAGGCGGGAAGGGAAAGGGGAACGTTGGAAGGAGTTCCGCATTCCAGACATTCCAGAGCCAACTTTCCCACCGGCAGAGCCGATGGAAATCGGAACAGCGCGCGCGCGCAGTTTCAAAGCCCAGTGAGGGGGCAAAGAAGGAGGGAAAAGGCGCCCGGAAATGCTATCTCTGCCAACAGCCAGGTCACTTTGCCAGAGTCTGCCCCCAGAGGAAAGAATGGCAGGGGATGGTAGGAGCTGTGGATGGAAGAGAGGAAAATATACCGGAGCAAGTAAAAGCCAACGCCTGGCTGCCACTGTCAGGGCACAGCAGCCAGGCCAAAGAGCAGTGAGAGTGCCCACGCCAGAACCTCCTAAACCCGTCCTAGTGATAGAAGTGACGCTAGAGCTGCCAAACGGACACCCTCTAAAGATAAAGGTGCTGTTGGACTCAGGCAGCTCCTGCAATTTCATGAGCAAAGAGTTTGCAGCTGAACACCAGATACAGACAATCCCTTTAAGCAGCCCCCTGCAGGTGACCACTATCGATGGCAGGGAGCTGTTGGGTGGAGAAGTCAGCTTGCAGACCGTCCCAATGATAATGAAGGTAGCAAGGCACACCGAACTGATAGCTTTTAATGTGGCCACCTTGGGAGGAGCTCCCATTATATTGGGGATGAGCTGGCTAGCGTTACATGATCCGCTGGTGGGCTGGCATCAGAGAGTGGTTTCTTTTGGTTCAGCACATTGCTTAGAACACTGCAAAGAGGGAAAGGGTTTGGCAGGGGTCCAAGCCACCCTAGCAGGGACTGAAGTAACAGAGAACGTGAAGGTACCACGACAATATGCAGATCTCCGTGACGTCTTCAGCGAAAGGGAAGCTGACCCCCCACATAGACCCTTTGACTGTCAAATCAACTTACTCCCTGGAGCACAGCTCCCTGTAGGCAAGCTGTACGCCATGTCAGACAGAGAGATGCAGGAGTTAAGAGAGTTCATTGACAAGAACCTGAAGAGAGGGTTCATCAGAGAGTCCAGGGGGGTGGGGGGCAGCCCAGTGTTTTTTGTGGATAAGAAAAACACGAACAAGCCGAGGCTGGTGTGTGACTTCAGGGCCTTAAATGCAGTGTCAGAACCAGTAGCCTTCCCTATGCCCAGGATTGACGACATTTTGACAAGGGTGCGGAAGGGAAAGATTTTCACAAAGCTGGACCTAAGGGGGGCATACAACCTGGTACGAATAAGGAAGGGGGATGAATGGAAAACCACTATGTTCACCCCTTTAGGGGCATTTGAATATTTGGTTATGCCCTTCGGCCTACAAGCAGGCTCCGCAACATTTCAATCGTTTATGAACCACGTCCTGGGGCCTTTGCTTTACAAGAATTGTGTGGCCTTTTTAGACGACGTGTTGGTGTATTCTGAGAATGAGGAGCAGCATGTGAGAGACGTCAGAGAAGTGTTGAGCAGGCTGCAAGCCAACCAGCTGTGGGTGAAACTGGAGAAGTGTCAGTTTCATACCAAGGAGGTGGAATTCCTGGGGTATCGCCTGTCAGACAAAGGATTGGCCATGGATCCCGGCAAGGTCCAGGCGGTGCTGGAATGGAAAACACCCAAAACAAAGAAGGATGTGCAGAGGTTCCTAGGATTTGGGAACTTCTATCGTAAGTTCATCCGAAACTTTGCCCACCTGACGGCGCCCATTACGGACTGTCTCAGCAGTAAGAAGAAGTTCGTGTGGACTGAGGAGGCGGAGCGAGCATTTGAGGAACTAAAAAGGGCCTTCGCCTCGGAACAACAACTCCTGCATGTGGATTTACAAAAACCGATGAGAGTGGAAACTGACGCATCAGACAGAGCGATTGGGGCGGTGCTTCTGCAGCCAGGCAAGAAGGGAGTGGAGACCGTGTGCCTTTTTTTCGCGAAAGCTGAACAAATCCGAGAGGAACTACACGGTGTATGACCGAGAACTACTAGCCATTCATGAGGCGTTCCGGAGATGGAGGCACCTGCTAATTGGCGCACAACATAAGGTGCAAGTGTGCACTGACCACAAGAACCTAGAGTATTGGAGGACGGCACGAGTGCTCAACCAACGGCAAGTGAGATGGGCCCAGGAGTTCTCCAAATTTAACTTTGAGATTAGTTACGTGCCAGGCCCAGAGAACATTAGGGCGGACGCTCTCTCACGCAAACCTGAATATTTGGAGGGGGGAGGGGGCACCCGAAGAGAGACATGTCATTCCAGAAGACCGCTGGGTGTGTGGGGCGGCATTGGTGGGACAAAGAGAACTGGTAGAGGAAACAGAGAATGATGAATACGCCCAGAATAAGCTCAGAGGTCTTAGGGGTGATGGAGAGGAACCAGGGGTTTTGAGGAAAGAAATGGAGCTTTGTATTACAAAGGGGCACTGTATATCCCTGAAGGAGAGTTAAGGGGAGGGTACTCAAGCAGTTGCACGACAGCCCTACGGCGGGGCATTTTGGACAACACAAAACCATGTGGTTGGTCACCAGGGAATTTTGGTGGCCTAAGGTGAGGGAAGATGTACGTGAGTATGTAAGAGGGTGCGAGCAATGCCAGCGAGCCAAAGGGGAAAGGCGGGCGCCGGCGGGGCTATTAGAACCCTTACCAACCCCAGAACGACCTTGGGAGGCAGTGTCGATAGATTTTATGACTGATCTGCCGAAGTCCAAAGGGAAAACAGCCATCATGGTGGTGGTAGACCTACTAACAAAGATGTGCCACTTTGTAGCTTGCTCGCATGCAGTCACGGCGGAAGAGACAGCGAAGTTATTTGTAGAAAACATTTTTAGGTTGCACGGGGTGCCATTGAGGGTGGTCTCAGACCGAGGAAAACAATTTACTTCCAGGTTCTGGAGGAAGCTCATGAGCTTACTGCAGGTGGAGGTCAATTTTTCGACTGCCCGGCACCCTGAAACCAACGGGCAGGCGGAAAGAGCAAACGGTGTCCTCCAGCAATACCTGAGGTGTTATGTCAATGACAGAGAGAATGACTGGGTAGAAAAGTTGGCGCTGGCGGAATTTGCCTACAACAATGCCGAGAATGTGTCCACAGGGATGAGCCCCTTCTTGGCTAATTATGGGTGTCATCCCAGGGCTTTCCCAGGGGGAGAGGGGAGAGATGGAGCGTCCCGGCAGCCGAGCATTTTGTGGAAGAAATGGAAGCAATCCATCGTCAGCTCCAACTCAACTTAGAAAGGGCGAAGGAAGAATACAAGAGGCAGGCAGACAAGAACCGAAGGGAAGGTGAAACCATAAGGGTGGGAGATAGGGTGTGGCTGTCAACCCAAGGGTTGCCGTTCAAAGGAGGTTGTAAGAAATTAAGACCCAGGAGGTTGGGTCCCTTTGAGGTCATTCAACAGGTCAACCCAGTGGCTTTCAGGCTCCGGTTACCCAACCACATGAAACTGCACCCAGTATTTCACAGGTCGTTACTGTCACCGTACGAAGGGGGACGAGAAGGGCTGGCCCCTCGGGGACCGGTCGTAGAAGAAAGAGAATGCAGCAGCCATGTGGCAGAAATCCTCGACGCCAGGTGGAAGGGGGATCAGGTGGAGTATTTGGTAGCGTGGGAAGGAGAACCGGAGTCAGAAAACACTTGGGTAATGGCTGAAGATATCAATGACGAGGTATTGATAGAAACGTTCCATCAAAGGTTCCCAAGGAAACCTCAGCCTGTGGAGAGGTTCCGGAGGGAATACTTTGGGACCACTGATGAAGGGGAGGAGTTGGAAGGATTCCCGGACTCGGAAGGGGAAGGGAGATGGACTCTGAGGAGGAGGTGTACTTCGAGACCAGGAACCGCAACAGGTTGAGAGAAGTGTTCGAGACATCGGAAGATGAAGGAAGTTCATTCCGGGTTTTGCCTCCTCACCGCCCGTTGTGGTGGGGGCGAGAGGGGGTTACGGGGCCCTGGAGGGGAGGTGGATGTCAGGGAACTGCCATCGGACGGAAGGGAGGTGAAAGGGCTCACACAGGTTGGGAGAGACGCAGCAGCTGAAGAGGGAACCAACAGGGAGGTGAAAGGGCTCACACAGGTTGGGAGAGACGCAGCAGCTGAAGAGGGAACCAGCAGGGGAGAGGAGCTGAGCTGGAGGGATGGCTCAGAGACACTTCCAGCGAAAACAGTGGGGAAGTTTCAGGACCTCCTGTAAGAACACCCACTCCTCGCCGGAAACTGTCACGCAGAGATTCCAGAAGACGGGTTTCCGTTAAGGAGCTTTTATGTTGGAAGCGATCACGAAAGCAACCACTGTCGGAATCTGCTAGTGACTAGAGTAGCCATGTCTGAGGGGCTCCGTCACAGACAGAGGTTTGTGGACTTGAACAAACTCTGAGGGGATACGATTTTAC